ATAAATAAACAAACAAACAAACAAATAAATGAATATTAGATCAAAGTAGCCCGGAATTTTCGTGTTTCTTTCTGCCAAATTTCCATGTGCATAGTCAAACTTGGTTGTTAAGGAAAGTGCTGAAGTGAATTTTTGTGCCATCTAGTGGTGTAAAAGATAATGAAGTCAGATGTGCCTTTTACCCCAGTGTGCCTTTAGCCCTGTTGTACTCTACATATGTAATGACAGACACACAATTTGGAAAATATGTGGTCATTGAAACAAAACGTCTCAGGTTACGTATGTAACCATGGTTCCTTGAGAAGGTAACGAGACACTGCGTCCTCTAGAGGTCTGGGGGAACGCTTTCGGTGAGACCGGTGTCTGAAGCATACATCTAAACACGACAATAAAATTGGCAGGTGACAGCCTATGACGTCATTACCGGCGCGACCACAAAAGGGCGCGGGGAGAATCATCCGCTTCTTCATCTGAAGCTTATGTCCGAAGGATGGCGAGGACTCTAGAGGACACAGTGTCCCATTCCCTTCTCAGGGAACCATGGTTACATACGTAACCTGAGACGTTCCTTCCAAGGGAACTTCGAACTGCATCCTCTAGAGGTCGCTTTGGGGAACAGTATACCCACGCTGACAAGCTGAGAGGAGTGCATGCCAATACTAAGGAGAGCACTACGTACCGACTCAACCAAGTTAAGGGATTTGCCCCTAGGGACGCTTTGACGGCTGTCAGTGACATCATCCCCTACGGCCAAAGGCCTGAGCTTATGTGCCAAAGAACTTACCCGTGAGGGGCTGGCTTGAGGAAGCCTGAGCCCAGGGCAAAGCTCAAGGCTTGGAATCAGAATAAAAGGATTCCTTAAGGGGATGCGGCCGAGTTTCAGGGCTGACCTAAACCCATATCTTGGCCTATCACCCAGGGGGCTACCCTCTGCTCTTACAACGAGCTACCCGAGGATCACATGATCACAATCAGGGAGGGGAGCTCTGTTAAGCTCAACCATAAGAGCAGCCCGCCAGGGAGGCAGAAGATATCCTAGCTACCTGACGTGGTTGCCGTACGAAGCTCCAGAGAGCGGAGGGCCCGACTCCCAGAAGTGGGAGAGTACGGAGCTCCAGAGAGTGGAGGGCCTGACTCCCAGAAGTGGGAGAGACACTCAGACGCTAAGTTGGGAGAGGCGTGCTCATAGGGGACCCTCAGGAAAAGAGAGGAGCACTGCTAGGCTCAACCATAAGAGCAGCCAAACAGGAAGACAGAATGAGCCTAACAACCTGACATGGCTGCTCAGTGGAGCTCTGAGGAGTGGAGGACTCAACGAGGGGAGAACTCAGGCACTCAGTTGGGAGCGGTGTGCTCGTAGGTGACCCTCAAGAACGAGGGGATCACTGCTGGGCTCAACCAAAAAAGCAATCCACCAGGGTTTTAAAGAGCAGCCCAAAAGGGAGGCAGAAGGTGGCCTAACAACCTGGTGTGGCTGGCCAACGGAGCCCCAAGGAGCAGAGGACTCGACTCTCAGAAATGAGAGGAACGCTCAGTTTGGGAGCGGCGTGCTCACCAGTGACCCTCCAGAATGAGGGGAGCACTGCTAAGCTTAACCAAAAGAATAGCCTAACAGGAAGGCAGAAAGAGGCCTAACAACCTGAGGAGGCCGCAAAATGGAGCTCCAGGGAGCAGAGGACCCGGTGAGAGGGGACCTCCAACATTCAAATGGGAGCAGCGAGCTCACAGGTGACCCCCAGGTCAAGGGGAGCACAGCTCGGTTCAAACAAGAAAGGAGCCAGGGAGGCAGCAAGTGGCCAAACTACCTGGTGTCGCTGCCACAGAGCAGAGGCCCAACTCAGACGCTCAATTTGGTAGTGCATGCTCATAGGTGATCCTCTAGGGCAGGGGTGTCCAACCCTGCTCCTCGAGAGCTACCATCCTGCAGATTTCAGCTCTAACCCCAATCAAACACACCTGAACCAGCTAATCAAGGTGTTCAGGGTTGCTTGATAATTACAGACAGGTGTGCTGGAGCAGGGTTGGAACTAAAGTCTGCAGGACGGTAGCTCTCCAGGAGCAGGGTTGGACACCCCTGCTCTAGGGTGAGGGGAGCACTGCTAAGCTCAGGCAACAAGGAGAGCAGTCTAACAGGGAGGCAGAAAAAGGCCTAACAACCTGAGGCTGTTGCTGCTCAATGGAGCTCCAAAGAGCGGAGGACTTGATGAGAGGAGGCCTCAGACGCTCAAATAGGAGTGGCATGCTCAAAGGTAACCCTCTGATGTGAGGGGAGCACTGCTAGGCTCAACCAAATAAGGGCAATTAATCAGGGAGGTAGCAAGCGGCCAGACTACCTGATTTTGCTGCCACGGAGCTCAAAGAGCGGAGGGTTCAACCCCTAGCAAGGGGAGAGAGGAACCCAACTTGACCGAAGCAATCAATAGCCCAGGGGCAGCGCACCTATCTCTGAAGTAGAGAGGAGGACTCACATAGTCTGCCCAGGACTGGGGAGCTCATAAAAGACCCTCCCGCAGTGAGGGGAGCACAGCCATATCCGGAAAGCAGATTGACCACAATGGGACATCAGAAATGGAATCCAGCTAGAAGGGGATCACACATCTCTACAGGGAACAACAGGGTCCCAGCATAGAGGCAACTGACCAAGGAGGCGACAGAGACGGGCCTAACAACTCAGTATTGTTGCATATGGAGTTCTCGGGAGCAGCGCTCTCAGTTCTCAGGCTGAGGCGGGCCCTAGAGCACAACGGAGCTAGATTAGAAGGTGGGGAATCCAGCAGGGCCCAATTAGAGATGGTCAACTGATGCAACTGGACGCAATCTCTTGCTCTCTGTGACGATGGAGCCCGATAGCCATTCATGCATACAGAGCTACTGGTCCTCAGAGCCGAAGCTTTCAGGAAGGGTTTCCGCAGACACACATCTCACGCGTACCTCAGGGAACGCAGTGTGCTCAAGCCCACTCCACGGAGGGGCGATTACTGGTACGACCATAAGGGGTGTTCTCCCAGCGCCCTTTTATACTGTGGTCGCGCCAGTAATGATGTCATAGGCTGTCGCCAGCCAATGTTATTGTCGTGTTTAGATGTATGCTTTAGACACCGGTCTTGCCGAAGGTATTCCCCCAAAGCGACCTCTAGAGGATGCAGTTCAAAGTTCCCTCGGAAGGGAACTGATTTTTCCAATGAACCTAATTGCATGAACATGGTTATAAAATAACCTTGTGAACATAAAAACTTTTTTCAATTTTAAACCTATGGGTTGTATCTATCTGCATATCTGTTTGTACTCACTGTACTAACTTCTGTTGTATACTTTATACCCACTCTCACATACACATACTCAGATACTCACATTACCATTTGCTTATGATATGAAGCAGTTCTTGCTCTTCCGCCGTTTGCGTGTATGTAGTTGAGTGTGACCACCCATCACTGTAGGACTATAACGATGTCGTAATTCCTCGTTGTCAAAGTATCGCAGCTGCACTGGACGTGGGGCAGTGTGACAGGGAGGTCCCGTGGGCCTGACCATCTATCGAGCTGCAGAGTGGAATTAAGGAGTGTTGAGCCACTCAACGCCTCAGCGAGAGGAGCTCTAGCCCAGAGAACGTGCATGATAGTTGAGGAATGACTCACATCTCAGGAGAACCCTCAGGGTGAGAGATGAGTAGAACGTCCTGGCCAGGTTGGCTTCTCGAAGCAAACACCCAGCCAGGAGATCAGGGAGCAGGTAACGAAGCATTATACTCCGAAAAACGCTCAACCTAAATGGAGAACTCGCGGGTCCTGAGGTTGCAGCTTTATACTGGGGACCTGATGCTAGGAAGCTCTCAAGCTCACAGATATAATCTGAAGGCAAAGTCCAAAGAACACTTGGGTCCGGACCGTCAGTAGATAGATCTATGAGACATATAAACTAACCAAAAACATAGGTCAGCATGAGAGACTGCAATGCAAGCACAGGAGGCTCCTGCCTAACCTCGGTCAGGTGGAGGGATGGTGGTATCAGGGGAATTGAAGGGAGGAAGATGAGCTCCCGGAGTGCAATATAATGTAGTTATCTGACAAGAACATGATAAAAATAATCTGTTCAACAACTGCAGACAGTTATCCACATTATACAATTCCTATATAAACTAAGGAAATTACTGATAGGGAAAGATTTCCCGTCAGGTCCTTTCCATGTTCTGCCCATCAACCGCGAACCGCAAGCAATGGGCAGACAATTCTCACTGCAACCACAATGCGCTGCATGCATTCAGCTCCCACGGGAGCCATTACCTCAGAAATCAAGAGAGAACGAATGCATCACTAATCCTGCGAGAGGCGAATGCACTCGTGCAAACTCGGGTAAATGGTGAAGTACTCACTCCCCCTCAGAAATCCCGGAAATGCATGACAATGAGCACAAGCCGTCTCTTCGTGAGTCGAGCGCATTCAATTCATGCCTATTCCTAGGATGGCAGAGCACATCCAAGTCCCTCGAGAGCTGAACGCGCTTGCACAACACGTGAACCGTGTGAAACTGCGGATATCAGAGCAAAGCCTCTGGCGAAGGGAACATGCACTCCTAGTCGTGCTTAGTTTAATGCTAACATAAACATACAGTCAGTGAAGACGAAGAAGAGGATGACGTGTTCTCCCAGCGCCCTTTTATACTGTGGTCGCGCCAGTAATGATGTCATAGGCTGTCGCCAGCCAATGTTATTGTCGTGTTTAGATGTATGCTTTAGACACCGGTCTTGCCGAAGGTATTCCCCCAAAGCGACCTCTAGAGGATGCAGTTCAAAGTTCCCTCGGAAGGGAACTGATTTTTCCAATGAACCTAATTGCATGAACATGGTTATAAAATAACCTTGTGAACATAAAAACTTTTTTCAATTTTAAACCTATGGGTTGTATCTATCTGCATATCTGTTTGTACTCACTGTACTAACTTCTGTTGTATACTTTATACCCACTCTCACATACACATACTCAGATACTCACATTACCATTTGCTTATGATATGAAGCAGTTCTTGCTCTTCCGCCGTTTGCGTGTATGTAGTTGAGTGTGACCACCCATCACTGTAGGACTATAACGATGTCGTAATTCCTCGTTGTCAAAGTATCGCAGCTGCACTGGACGTGGGATGACTTCACCCAGAAGGTAACCATCATCCTCTGACACCTCTGATGAAGAGGAACAGGTTGAGCAAAACTGATCTTCATCCTCAACTGTTATTCCATACCTACCCATATACTGTCCAATCTGTGGACCTCCAGGATCCTGCAAGTTGAGGTCAGAGGTGGTTCGAGGACAAGGCCCAAAGAATTGTTGTCGATACCCATAATTTGCTCCAAAGAGATTGCGTGACACTCTTGATGAGGATGGTCGCTCAAAGTCATTGTGAAATCTATGAATGGGGTCCCCAGGGAAACTCTGATTGTCTGTGGCTAAATGCAGGGCATTGTCTGACCGAGAGCGGCGGGAGCGGTAGTGATGTTTGTGACCTTTGTGGCCTTTGCGGTGGTGACGTTGACGTTGGCGCTGCTGTCTAGGTGAGTCTTGTGTCTGAGTGCGTCTTGGCCGTGGTGTCATTGCTTGGGCATTACCTTCCTGCATACATGACATGCTTCCTGCAAGACCAATGCGACCTTTGACTGGATCCTCAAAACTTAAACCTCTAGGTGAATCCCAGTATAGTGAAGGAGGGTACCTTACTCTGACAGGCATGCCAATTTCAGCAAGAGGTCTTGGGACAGAGCTCAGGGATTCAGTGCTGCGGAACTGCATTGATGAGTTTAATGTACCCATGGTGCCTTTATCAGACACATTTACCCCAGAGTCTTTACTCAGGTCAGGCATAGAAAATCGAGAGAAGTGCTCCTGACGCCTGTTGGTCCCATCTAAAGAGTTTCCTGCTGAAAACAAACAATGGACAGAGATCAGAAATAGTTATACTACATGAAATGTGTGACAGTTTGAATGAACCAATTAATGTTTTGTTTTGAACATACTTCTGTCAGGTAATGATATGACGTATCATGACATACTGTATGTACCAGTCTAACTGAATTTATGCATACCTGTAGTGTAGGGAAGCGCCAGTGAGTCAGCAGAACCTCTTGGTGTTTGTTCTAGTGGCGTAAGTTCACCAAAGCTTGGCCCAAATTGGTGCCTGCTCCTCAGCAATGGAGGACGCATCTCTCGGGGAAAGCCTTGCATGCTTACACTGCGTTTGTCCAAAAATCCAGAATTACGGCTTGGTACTTCATTGAAGCTCATTTGTGTTTTGAGCTTAGGAGCATGAAATTCAGGTTCCTGGCCATGGTGCATCCAATTATCATTGAAAGAGTGGCCCCTCAGAGTAGCCATGACTGGAGGCTTTTTGGAATTACCCCCAGGTTGTTCTTTTGACCAAGATTCTGGACTGCTCACTATCTTTGGTGGCTGATTGGGAGAAGGAGGGTAAGCGCTACGCATGCTACATTGGCTTCGTAGCTGATGGGGATTTGAAGATGTGGAGGAATCTCTTTGTTGAGACTCGTAGGAATAAGGCTTATCCCTGTTTACCCAAACTGACTGCTCACGGTTCAGACTTGGAGACCGACTTGGGGTTCTACTTGGGGTTCTCGTCGGTGTGCGGTGGGGTGTACGGCTGGGAGCTGGGTTGGAGATGCTCAGCAAATCCATTTGAACAGCTAGAGGCTCTGCATCACCAACCAATGGTGTAGGGCCAGATGATGTTTGTCGTACACCTTTGCCTTTTGTTCCATCCTTGCCAATCTGAGTACTGTGGCGTGACTGACAGGAACGGGCACTCTGGAAAGCAGAATCCGAAGAGTCTGACAACTCAGGTTCATCCCCTTGGCTGCAGAGACGGGAACAGTAGATCAAACCTTGTTTCGGCAGGAAGGGACGACCCAGCAAAGACTGATTGCAATGAGCACAGCTGAAGCACTCTTCAGTGGCATGCCAGTGTTGACCTTCATATGCCATCTGACCTTGGTCTATACCTAAAACACATTACATAAAAATTACATTATACATCACATAAAATTCTTCTTGGCTGATGATGACTTTAAATGTAGTGTGAGAAAAAAACAGTACTGGGATGAATCTCAATTCAGATTTTCACATTCATTCACATTTTTTTCACAAAGATTAGTTTTTGCAGTGTAGTGTTACTTTCAAAGAGACATATTTGTATCTTAACTACACATGAATGTGTCTTTAAGGGTACTTCTCCAGTGACAAGCTGTTGTACCTCTAAAAAAAAACAATTTTCGCACAGTGTTGCAAAGCTTTGTGTGACAATGCATAAAATTTAGTTAAATAATTCACTTTGTACACATCCTTTATTTTTGTCAGTAGAGTAATGCTTAAAGGGACCATCTGGAGAATTAAGAAACCTTTCTTATATAAGACACCAGTGGTAGTGAACTGCAGCCAGCTACTTACTGCTCATGCTCATGCTGGTGCTCATTAGGGTTGGGTACCGAAACCCGGTACCAATATGGCACCGGTACCTACGTATGTAACCGGTATGTATTAGAACCGAATCCGAACGCAGATTTCTGTGCCTCATTTCGGTGCCATGCCTGAGCGATCGATTTAAATATTTGTCCTCAGGTTCTCCGAAATAGACGCAAGAAGCATCATCACTGGCACCGCACGTGAAAAATAATAATTTCCCGACTGAGAAAATGCACGTGAACTCAAATCGGAAAGCTCTAATAATACAAATCCAAAACATCTTTGTAGTAAAGAGCGTGTCCATGTTGTTTTCACATTCCAACTTAAAAGCACAACTCGGGTAAATTAGGGTGACCCATACATCCTCTTTTCCCTGGACATGTCCTCTTTTTGGACCTACAAAAATGCGTCCGGCCGGGATTTCTTAATTGCCCAAAATGTCCGGGATTCGGTTGTTTTCTTAATCCCACTCCCGCTGAATCTCTGCTCCCGCAACATGTGTTTTGCTCCCGCGATTTTCGTGTCCACTTCTTTAAACATTCTAATATTGTATATAATTTTGGCGTTTCAGGGAGCCGCTCTCAGGATGCGGTGTACGTTCATGGATTTCTACATTAACTGTTCCCTCCTGGTGGAATGACCTGCCCAACTCAATTCAAGCAGCTGAGTCCTTAATATTTTCAAGAAATGGCTGAAAACATGGTTCCCCAGAAGGGAAGGAGACGCTGTGTCGAAACGCTATGGGAACGTCTCCAGCGTGACCACGCTCTGAATTACATGTGTAATCAGTCCAATGGATGGGCGAGACGTCACGGGCGTCGTGCGGTGCGGTGAAACCGGCGTCAGCTTCTAGGAGTGAAGCAAGCGCTGGCAGGGATGCCGGAAGTATGGCCCTGA